TTTGCAGTCTGGATCTAGACAGAAACTGCCATTTAGTAGTCCTTGAATGACCCTGTCCTGGAATGCTACAACTGTAGGTAAAAACCATCAATTTACAACCTTCTCCTTTTTGATTTTTTGGAAGCTGCTCATGTTGGGACAGAAATTTTTATCTCAGACAGTTTTGATACAGCAGCTACAATTTAGGTCAATTGTGTTTGCCGATAAGATGTGGAGAGAGACTTTTCCTTTCTGGCTTCAAAAGCGTAAAGAATTTTTTTAAGTGTCTTTTAGTATGTATAATGATTATTCAGTCCTATAATAAAATTAAATTAATGTAAACAAAACATTAAAACAATTAAAATATAATAATTCACTAAGACACTGCAGAAATCTCTGCATATCTGTCCAAATAAGTCACTATCATGCAAAAAAAAACAACAGCTGCCTTTCATTTGCTGGCAATATCACTAAAGGACATAAGACTCTAGTGATTAACTTAGTTTCACAAACATGGCAGTTCATTAAATAATTTAGGAAATATGAATGTGATTTTATTGATTCAGTCAACATAATGAACTGCAGTTTAACATTCTGTATTGCTTACAGACAAACTGCACTATTCATTCACCAAATACCTGACAGAGATTTGAAAAGCAATGAGATAACCACTTCATTTTCTCAAAAACAATCAGAAATCTGAATTTAAAAAATCAAATATATTATTTTTAATAATTTTTTTCCAGTAGAGATGAGATTAGATAATTTTCATACAGCTAGGAAAAAAGATAGATATTGTATGTTTTGAATTTTGTATTCCTAAAGGAGAACTTTAGATTACTAAATATTTCAGAAACTATTCATTCTTAGTAGTCAGTTTGTATTTCTTTAAACCTGGGCAGAAAAGCAGGCATCCTTCATTTGTGATAGCTGTTAGGAACTAGTTAACTCATTTACTATTGACTTATTTTCATAACCGGTAGCAGAAAAATAGTCTCACCCTACACAGAGGTGCGCACAGCTAACAATCAGTTAAGGGATTTCCCTGGCTATTGTTTTGGGAAAGGGCCCTACATATCTGACCTCTCTCACTTGCAAATGTCAGTAACCCTTTCTAAGAAAGCTGAAGAGGCTACAACCTCAGGTACCGACACCGGCTTTCTACTGAAGGTTAGTATCCTACCCTGTTAGTAGGAACAGTGGAACAGCTGCTCAGCCCTGGCAGTTCACAGCCTATGGGTTAGCAGAAACGTTGTTGATTTGGGTTCCTGTTTCTCCACCGGGCCGCAGAGCAGTTGCGCTGCCAGGGCTGTTGCCTCTACATGGGAGCAGCCATCTGATAGAGTTCTGGGCAGTTATGGATGGTACCTGCTGAATTACCTGGACTCAAATCATCATTCAGGGCATCGAGGAAAAGAAACAGCTAAAAGACTGATAACTGAAAGAAACAATTCATTAAGTAGGGAAATATGGGTAGCATAGCCCAAGGAGAAAGTTATTGGGCTAAAAATTAACCAAAAGACTTTCAGAAGTGCAATGAAAGAAGAATTTATTTCTCTTGTTAATACCCCTTCAGTTCGGGAAAGCGGGATTTTCCACATAGGCATCATTGCTTCAAAGGAGCGTGACTTCATCACCAGTTTATTCATCCAGAAACGCCAATCAAAAAAACCCTCCAGGGGTCCAAATTTTGGCTAAGCATTCGGGTTTAAAAAATTATAATATTATTTTGCTTGACATATAGACTTATGTTTTTCTTCAGTTATATAAAAATTTGGTGTAAGCATTGTATTTGAAAATAGGTAAACTACCATTAAAAATCTGTGTAAAGTCAATTAAGATCTTGAAGCTGAACAAAGAAATGTAATGGCTATATAGTTTCTTTTAGAACTACTTTCTTTAAGCCTTGTTACTTTTAAAAAAATTTATTTACACATCTACCATATGTGAGCCAATGCATCATTCAGGAACTTCACTTCAGGTGTGAAGGATTCAAAGTCTGTGTAATGTTATAGAAAAAACAGTCTGGAGCTACAGTAGGTAGAAGTGATTTGGAAATTATATGGAATATTAAGTTAGAAAAACAACAGTGAACCTTAGGAAAAACATATTTTACCCTAGAAGAACATTACCAGTAACATTCCTGAGTATTAATTTTCTGATAACTTCGGACTGTTCTTGCAAATTATAGTCTGATGTATTAAGAAAAACTGAACTCTGTGCTGGTCATGCTTAATATACTGTCCTGCAATCTGTAGTAGTTCAGCTCCTTCACAAAGAGCTGAGCTTTTCTTCTAGTGGGAGCACCAGCTCCTGAGAGAGGGATGAGAGCCACCCAAGGAAAGCCATCATCTTCTGACTACAGTGGTTCACAGAATAAAACCCACTGCTGCAAGAGAAGGGTATTGGGTTGCTCAGCCAATAAGAAATTAACACATCTGCTGTCTGTGATCTTAGGTATTTCAGCTGTCTGATACTGAGAGGAAGGATGGAAGGAACTGGGCATATCTATGGCATCTCTCTGTCCTTGTCACCTTCATCTTTTACATCAACAACAGTTTTATTGTGTTTTTTTCTAGTTTTTAAGCATGATAAAAAAATTAATTTCTAAGTATACTTCCTAGAGATCTATCTTCTTAGAAAAATAGTTTCAAACCTAATTCTAGTTATTCTGAAATTAAAATCTTACCTTGTTTAAAATTTAAACAGTACGAACTTAGGATATACTCATGATATTTTTGTCTAACTCAGTTAAAAAGGAACCAAATTCAACTTTCCTTGTTTGACTCTTAAGTAGTTATTTCCAAGTGGTTTTCAATGTGTGTATAATGATTAAACAGAGGTAAGATAATCTCTCTACATACAGATATTAAAATATAAGTACTTTAAGACCCAAGGAAATGAACACTCTGCCTCTGCACAACTAAATACATTTTTTAGACAGGAGAGACTGATGTCTGCAGTTGAACCGACAGCATTAAAGAAATTCAGGCCAGGAAGAATGGATCTAATCTAAAGCTCCCTGAAATCAATGAGAGACTTTGCTTTAACTTCTCTAGGCTTTGGCTGCAGCCCCAAGTAATTATTCAAGCTGGGCTTTGACCACTGATACTAACACCATCTGCTTACAGGAAAGTACCATGAAATCTTTCATTAACACAAATCATAAAGGCTTCAGTTCTATGTCTTATCTAAAAAAATGGCACCTTTGAGAGTGCACTGTTGATACGTACCTTGCTGAGGACCTCATTCCCTGCCATCTCATGGGAAAGTGTGTCATCTACTGGGTTGCCAGCACTACCTTTTCCAAAATATGGCCAAGTTTCAAAGCCATTGATTTTCCAATTGAAGTTCATATGCAAGTATATATATATTTTTATTGATGGTGTAGAATAGAAATAATAAATATGCAACAAATACATGGAAAGGGAGGAGTAAGGGGGTTTTGTTTGTTAAAATCAAATTTTAAAAGAACAAAATAAAACACATAAAAGGGAAAAAAGAATATGACATCTATGTAAAATGCCTACCTAGAGGGCAGGATAGTCTTACAGTTCAGAACTGGATTTCTCACTATTCTTCTATTTTCACCTTTTCACAAAATCACTGAGGTAAAACATATAACCTTTCTCTTCCTCAGTTTCCCCATTAGTGAAATGGTATTAGTGTCAATTGATCCGGTAGGAATTTGCCATCCTAAAATACTGCTTTGAGATGTTCAAACAGGAGGTAGTGTATCAAGCCTTGGCATTACTGCATACCATCTTATGGCCTGGATAGTGCCACATACTGTGCAAGGCCATTGCTTTTTTTCACAACGTTGTTAAGCACCAGTTTTGCAGCACAGGCCACTTCATTGAGAGTGAATAAGGCATAATCCCTTTTGTACCTATAACTCACACTTTCAAGCCAAAAATGAAAAAGATGTGTCTGTCACCAGACAATGAGTGTGTCTGGAGGACTTACATATTGTTTCCTTATTGTAGGGATTAATGAAGTGCTGACCTGGGCCCTGCACAGCACTTAAGGACATGTTTAACTTTAAGAATCTGAGTAGACTGATGAATTTCATTGGGAATACTGATGTGCTTAAAGTATGTGTTGTTGGAATGAAGTCATATCCTTCAGTATCGTGTGGGGTCAAGCTACTTTTCTTTAGGAAAGTGGAGGAACAGTCTCAGATGTTACTCCTTCTACAAGGAATCTCCTGGTTGTTCAAGACCGGGATCCTCAAAAATCTTTCCCTCCTGATTTCTCAGCCCAGACTTATATATGTGGTCTGCCTGCAATATACGGGATCAAGATCTGCGCTGCTGTTCTAACATTAATTGCTTTCCTGTTCTGAGCCAAAAATAAATTCAGTGAATCAAGACTCTAAACAACCGACTTCAGTAGCACTGATTTTTCTTCTTTTTTTCCACTGATTTTACCTAGCAACTTTCATGTATGTGGATATGAAAAACATTAAATAATTATGTGCCAACAAAATAAACTTAAGCAAATAGCTGCCTTGCCCCAAGCCCCTAGGCTGGTCAAAAGGCAGTACCTCGTGGAGGAAAGGCACAAGCTCTCTCCTTCCAGGGTTCTGCGTTGCTGTCTTAGGTGAACATCTGTGTTAGATCACAACACTGAACAAGTTTTCTACCTCCATGTGCCATCTCTGGGGCACCTTCTTGGACAACATCCCAGATACAACTTGAGTCAGAGGCAACACCTGCAGCTGCACAGACCATTGCACTCAGAAGGAATGCACTGTGTTCACCTCTCAGTAGATAGGATGCTCTGTTTATCTGTTTGCATCATGACTTACTTCTGCTGGTGTCTACTCTGCCATTGATATGAAAGTTTCATACTAGTTCTTTAACAAATTTTACCAGATGCATTAACTGTGTAAGGACCATAGTGCAGTTATTACTGTGTATGTTTAAAAGGAATACAGTGTGCAAAAGTGGACTTCCTTGACACAGAAATGTTTAGGATTGCTGATGTAACTTATATTATCATGTTTTTTTGTTTTGCAGTTTTACTGAAGAATGCAAAAAAGGAAGAAGAAAAGCCTTTCAGAGACTGTGCAGATGTATACCAGTCTGGTTTTAACAAAAGTGGGGTCTACACTATTTATATTAACAACGTGTCAGATCCTAAAAAGGTAAAGTAAATACTTATTTCATTTTCTTGTTTGTTAATATGGTGTTTCTCTGGCCTTAAAGGAGCATTTGGAGCCTTTATTGAAATTCTTATTCTGCAAAATGTTGCACTGGTATGAATAACCTGGGCTATATTCAGTCTTGAAAAAAATACAATAGAGTGAAGAAAATGATAAACTGTATTATTCCAGACATTCTTCTTTCTCGCTGACAGAGAATCCTTCCTAAGTTCCAGCATACACTTAGTAGTTGACTCACTTCCTCCCACTTGGCAAGTTTGGTTGAATCAGACTATGGCTGCAAATAAATCTGCAATAAAGTTTAGAAGAGAATTAGTAAAGTACTATAATGGCGAAGCTGGGGGGGTGGGGCGGATTATCTGGTAGCACAGGGAAAGAAATAGCAGAATGAGTAGTTTTTAAAGATAAAGATTTACAAAAATCCTGCTTGTCTTGTAGGGAGCAGGGAAGAGTGTTTTTGGCTGTGAAGAACACAACATGCTGAATATTAGCACTGTTTGAAATGATGAAGCATGTATAATCCTGTCCTTCTCAAAAAAGATCATTGGGAGTTTTTTTTGATGAAGATGAAACATTAGTCTGTAAAGGAGACTTTTTTTGGAAGGCTGTTGTTGCTGAGGTACCTGAGTCAGCTGAATCTAGGAATTTGAGAAAATAACCTAAGCCTAACATATGTGGGGCAATACTGGCTGTCCCTCTGATGAGGCACTACTGGAAGCAGCCCTCAACAAGGCTAAGGGCAGATTACCTGGGAGAGGAAAACACAGTGGTGTCCAGAAAGTGGGACAAACAGGAGGAAGAGAACCATATCTGTCTGGTGAATTTATTCTTACTGCAGTAAAATGGTGACCCTGCAAACAGAAAAAGGCAGTAACAAATATTACCGATGTTATTGCCTATAGTAATTTTATGATGATATTAAGATATGTAAAACTTATTTCTAAACTGAATTTTGTTTTATGAGAGGCCTGTGGAAGCCTGTAAATGTCAAGATGTTATAGTTTACTAAGAAATTAAGAGTACCATGAGTAGAATTGGGATGGGAGAGTGCTATGGGCAAATTTCAGTATAACTCTGGTGAATATGAATGGAAGAATAATTGACATAACATAAAACATGGAGACCTCTTTAAGCATTACTGAACAGGACAAGAACAATAAAAGCGATTCTGTAGAAGCTGTTCCACTCAAAACAGGGACTTTAATGTTAAGTCCAAATTGCATGTACAAATTGGCAGTGACTTTTCCTAGCCTTATTAAAGTTTGTACACCATCCCCAGAAGCTGGGTTGCAATGAAAAACAGTGGTTAACTGAAAGCACTGTGACACCGATGCTTCTGGTATATTTATCTTAAATCCACTTCACTGCTAGTATAAGGACAGTGACACTATGGAAGCCATGCTGAGTTTCTGCTATATCCCTGTTCACAGGCGTTGCTGTCAGTCAATACAGGCAGCACAACTCAGCTGATATCATTGCATTATTTTTTCCTAGAGGCTTCCTGTTTTAGCAAGAAAATGTGGGAGTATATGTCTGTGTGTGTGTGTTGAGGGCATTTCTGCTGCCACCTGTTTCTGTCTTGCCCTAGTGGTAACAAAGCAAGAGCTAACCCCAGGCACGTTCATGTTAGTCAAGTGAGGAGTATGATTGCTTTAACAGATGTTTTTTCAGACATTAAGGTGATATTAACAGTCTGCAAGGTAGTGCTGTACAGAGATAGCTAAACTAACTCCAACTGAGATAGCTAGCTTCAAAATCACATCAACGCAGCACTGTGCCAGGACTAATTAGCCCAAAGGTGGCACCATGCTGACACAGTGAGATTGCTGTGGGATGCAAGCTAATATCCTGATAGGTACTCCATGGAGACACACCAGCTTGTTTAAAGCCAGCTTAGTTAACTGGATTACCACAATGCAATGCACAACTCTGACATGTCTTAAGAGGCCTGATATATTGTTACCTTCTGTAATACTCGCAGCCACTGATAACTGTCTCATTTATAGTAATTTTATACTTCAAGTCACAAAAATATACCTTCATTTCATTTTATATCTCCTAAGGGATACTTACTAGAATCCAGACATTGAATAGAAAATATCTATTTGTCATATATATAAATGTTACTGTCAGTTCTAGTTTTTTACTGGTTTTACCTTCATATATTCATAGAAAATTATCCTCCATGCTTACAGCTCCATCCATTTATATACCTCATTTTTATATGCTTACAAATTTAGACTACAACTTTTCTTTCGTGTTCCTAGCTTCAACAGTTCATTAGTTTAGTTCATTAGTTCTCCAGCCCTGCATCAAAAATTAGTGATTCATTTCTGTTTAAAAGGATCTTAATAAATTCCATATTTTTGAGATGGGAAGAGAAAAAGATAGGTTTAAAGTATTAAGCTAATTAATTGGCTTACTTTGGTGCGTGTGTGTGCAATGCCTGATGGTGTTGAGAAACAATTCTCCCTAGCTCATGGTACAATCAAAGGCAAGAAGAGTCCTATCAATCCCCTGCAGAGGTGTGGTTGGCTACAGGGGAAGCAGAAGCTGCTGATGAGGAGAGGAGCAGCAGGTGTGAGGTTGTCGCTATTTTTGAGCTGAAGGAACCATGTCACCTTCAAGACGTGAAGTAGGCCAGGGGGACTGGTCTGAGTGCACAAAGAACCTCCATATCTCCCCTTGGATCAATGTATTTGACTGTCTTACTGTCTCCTCTAATACGCTCACAAGCATAACTTCTACCAACTTCTGGGTGCACTGCATTGAAAATGTAATGTTATTAATTGCTAGTGGAGTCTGTATATCTGGGTCTTTATGATTCTGCAAAACCAATTGCTACCATTGCCATGAATGCAGCCTTCACTCCTTCCCCTCTACTTTCTGCCTGTGGACTTCCTACCAAATTGCTGTCGATGGTCTCTCCGAGCATATCTGCCAGAATTTTAACCTATTAAATGTATGCTAGCCCCATATACTGTGGAAACTGTCATCCTGACATGGTTACCTTCAGGCTTGGTTTCTGCATAGCAGAGACACATTCCCTGAATCTCAAATGGCTGTTCTTGAGCTTGTTGCTCCATGCCAACAATGTAGACTTGTGATGTCTTAGTGTGCATGCACTTAAAATGCAGTATGTGGTAGTCACTCTCCTTTTGTTTACTTTAAAATGGGGCTTGATTTTATAATAATTTAGTCCATAAAGCTAAAATAAATATAATTAATCCCATATATGCGTTTTAGGACCTTCAATATTTTTACCCATGCATTTAAGGAAGGGCAAGAGTGCAGTGTTTTGGATGCTCTTTTAATCTAAATCAGGTTATTTTATTGATGATAAACTCAGAATCTAGCGATGCATGCAAACTCAAAGTCACTTTTCTTCATCTTTTTCTTTTCCAGTAGAGGGTTAAATATCAGAACATGTTAAAAGGTGTTTAATGGCTGAATGCCTTGACCTCGTCTGGGACAGAAGCCAGTCCAGGACATTTGTTGGTTAGAGCTATGCACAGTGAACATCTATAATCAGCTTGGTACTCCTGTTAATATGGCAGGTGTTTGTGTCTACCACACAATGTGCCAGACCACACAATGAAGGCTAGAGAATAGTGTACTGGTGGTAAATCTTTCTTTCACTGCGCAGTTTTCTCTTTTAATTTGCCATATTTTTCAGAAAACATTAAAGTCCTTTTATAGGTATTTTATTATATTTAGTATGAAAACCCCATCATTTGTTTGTGTGCATCCTTAAAATGAGTACTCTTGATACAGTTGAGGATTCAATGTTTTAAAAATTGGCAGTGGATTCATGGGAGCTTGACATGACTTCTAAGGAAAGTAAATCCATCATTTAGAAATTCTCACTGTAAATCAGACTAAAGAAATTAAATCCTGTAGATAAATGTTTTGACTCACAGTGTCTTCCCTGAAGGAGGAATAGGGCCAAAATGTTTGTCTAGCAAATTATGGGTTTTCTTGTGGTTGCCCTCAATCAAGTTCACATGTTTGCACTGTTCAGTATTCTGTTTCCTTCCTATACCTATACAGAGACTTCACTCGGCATGCCTGGAGCAAATTAAAACAAAAGCACTTGCACAGGATTACTATGACAATGTTTATGAGTAGGAAAGATTTGGAATTGCTTTGCCTGAGGGTAGAATGTGGTTCTGTAGTCAACTGAGGGATAGATTTTTATTTAACTGAATTGGATAGTAACCTTCAATTTGTCAAAGCAACTTAAAGCTTTAAATTACTGACCAGTGCTGAATGGCTTGACTCTTGTTAATGTTGGTGCCAAAAGCTAAGCTGATGGCTGACACCTCTTCAACCCTCTTACATATTGACATCTTACATAAAAAGAGGGACATAACTATTGAAGAGCACAGACAAATGAAATTTAGGATAGTTGCAGTGCCAATATGGCACAGATGAGTACAAGGGGATGAAAATCAGGAAAATTTACTTGAATTAGTATTGCTGAGAAGCTTAGATCTTAAAATCAAGTGCCATGCAAAAATAGGAACAAAAATGAATACTCTCACTTGCCACATACCAGGAAAAGTGAATGGATAAGCAGTATTTGCATTTTTTCATAATTTATCTTCTATATTTTTGAAAGGATAATGTAAGAAGAATGAAAAAAGAATGAAAATTAAATACCTGTTTTGATTATTATATGGATTATTTAAGATTGTTAACAGATTTCAGTCGATGCAATATTCTAACATCAAGCTTCAACAAAATTGTCAAATTGTTAAATTATCCTTAATATACAGAATCTCAGTATTTAAGTTAGAATTTTATTAGTGCAGTGATGGCAGGGTATGGTCTTACATGTCTGAGCTTGTCCCACAGATCTCTGTTCTTGAGCCTGTTCCTATCTATGTCCTCTATCAGCTGTAAGGCTTAAACTGAGATCAGCTGTTTGTGTTTTGAGACACTGTCTGGCACACTGTAGGTAGCATTACAATACAAAGCAAAACAGAATAATCTCATCTGTGTTACATTTTGGACTCCTTGAATGGATATTTTCTGTAAGAATTCCTGAAGATTCTTTCTTAGACAGAATGATACTCTACTGAAAGCTATAGAAAATATTATCACTGAAAGACACTTATTTGTTAAGAGAAAGGGAGTGGTTTCAGGGGCACTGCAGAGAAAATAGCGTGGAGAGAGTGTGAAGAAGAAAGCTGAGGATGCAGAGGGGGATGATGGGGAAATGTTCTTGGGTAATGTGCTGAAAGAACAGAAGACTTTACTGGGAGAGTTACACTGAACATAAGGAGAGCTCTGGTTGTAATCAGGCAATTGAGGATACCATCGAGGACATAGGGTATGAATCCATAGGAAAACAGGCTTTCTTAGTTCTGTTATTCACAAATATTTTTTTTTCCTGCTAAGATGACAGGATTCCCATGCAAGTTTGTTTTATTGTTTTTGTTTTTGTTTTTTTGTTTTTATTATTGCATAGGTCTTTTGCAATATGGAAATTGCTGGAGGAGGATGGACAGTTATACAGCACCGAGAAGATGGGAGTCTGGATTTTCAAAAAAGCTGGAAAGAATACAAAATGGTAAGGTGAAAAATGTGGAATAGCTGTACAGTTCATAGAAGTGTTAGATTTCAAACAGTACTTCCTATAATCTTAAGCAGATAATTCTGCCTATAGTGGTGTGGTGTGGTCCTGCAGTCTTTTATGAGCTGCCTTTTGTCAAGTCTGTTACTTTCAAAAATCATAATATTCTTTTTACTCAATTAGTTGAGTATTATTTACCATGACTTAGGGTTTCTTTCAGATCAGTTACTGAGATTAAAATGAGGTCAGGCCCAGGCATATGCACTAAAGAATGTTGCTGTCTGTCCCCCTGAAGTTTTGACTTGCTGTGACGTTAAGGGGTAATGGGCATGTGATGATGTTCCTAATGCATGGATGTTTTCAGCGGAGGGGAACTCCTTCAGAACTTGGAGCATCTCAAATAGAAATGAAGAGTTTACTGGGATTTATCCCAAGTCATACAACACCTCTGCCAATCAAGCTGATGTACTGGAAATGTTGATACTTTGAATAGGATTAAAAGAAAATAAATAACTTACCAAATTACAAATGACATGACTTCGGCAGGCTATTTTCCCTTTGCCAACTCAAAAAAATTTTACTCCAATCTAAATAACTTCTGAGTTTTTTCGTTTGCTGCCTGATCAAACTTTTTGATGGAGCTCCTTTCTCTGAGTCCCTGAGGACTGGCTTGGATTTCAATGACATTCCCAGTGAAGTTTTCAGAACTGTGTTATCAGTCTGGAAGAGGAAAATCTTTCTACCAACAGTTTTCAAAAAGCACTCAATGAAGAGAGCATTTAAAAGGTTTAAAAATAAAAGCAAATCCAGTTCAGTAAAAATTTCTGTGGGAAAAAGTTCTGCTACAAAACATACCATTTCAGAAATAAATGTAATATTGGATTATTGAACTGAAATATCATTTTGGATTTTATGGATGCTTTCTTTTCAATATTTTTATATTACTTGAAATTATAAATTATAGGTGTAAAAAGTAACCGCTTGGGTCAGATCTTTGCTACTATGAATAACCAGAGGATGTAATCTCTTTCATAATATATGTGAAGTAAAAATAATAATAAAATGACAAATAGATATTTTTGAATGGATTTACAAAATTGGGAATATTTTTTTAGAATTCATAAAATTTTAATTTAGCAGGAAATTTGAAAACTGTTTTACTCTATTTTGGTTCAGAGTCAAATAAAATATGAAACAATTTATTTTGAGGGAACCAAAATTTGAAGATTCTATCAGTTCTCCTTATGAGGAAATTAGAATTTTTATATGTAACCTAACTTATTCTCTACATATTGGCTGGTTTAATTTATACATATCATATGAATTATTGAGATTTACTCAGTTTTTCTCTCCTGTGCTTTTTCTAAAAACAGGCCTTCTTTTTGAAGTTTTCCCAGGTGGCCTTTTTTTGTATATATCCCTTCACTTAATCAAATATTTTCCTCAAATTTTCCTTTACAACAGTGTGAGCCTGCTCAGGATTAGTTTATATTGGTTCTGTCTAGTTCAAGCAGTCTGAATTAATTTTGGTTCTCTTTAGGAATACCATAGTCTTCTAAGAGATCATTTACTTCTACCAGATAAAAAGGATTTGTTTTGGACTTTTACTGATAGCTATCCTATAAGTCAGTCATGAGAAGAGATGGGGTTTACGCTTGTCTCTGCTACTATGAATGATTTCACCAAAGTAACTAACTTAGGCCCCCTTCTGTGATTATATTATATCACCAAATGTTCAATGATAGAGGCTGGTGGATGCTCTGTGGGTTACTGGACTATGTAACAGAGTCTGAGTTTCAAGGCAATGACACCACTGACTTAATTCCCTCATTATTCAGAGAGGGTGCACGGTGTCTATTGGATCACTTCCCCTCTCCTTCCTGACACATCTGCCATCTTCCAATAGAAACCAGATAGTGTGGTGGGAGACACAACAGTACTTTGTCTTACTTGGAGTGGTTGAACTTAATATGTGTTCTTTCAACCCATAGTTCAGATAGAGCTTTCCAGATTTGCTGAGAAATTCTTGTTGTGCTTGTATCTCTCTAGGGCCCCAAATCTAACATTAATAAGCAATATCATAAGAATATAATAAAAGCAATAACAAGTCTCTGGGGCTGCTTCTAGTTTCAATGCTTTTGGTTCTTATTGGAAAAGAATCTGGAAAACTGTTAAAGTTATTTAGTTACAAGCAAGCACTGATTGACAGCTTTGGAGCTGGACAGGGATGCAGGACACCAACCTGTGGTACTGCTAGTGCCCTCACAAGGTACTGGGTGTTCCAGTTTTAGGAGGCCATTGCCCGTTTTCTCTAGCTCTAAGCTGGGATCGTTACAACAGGTAACTTGGAAAGGGTGCACATGGAGTATTCTCTGCAAAGGTGAATGACAGCACTGATGGGTTACAGGAGTCACCTGGCAACAATGAGGCAGTTGTTGTCTTTGATTCCGTTTCATGCTAGTGCCTTCAGCTTACATGGAAGTACTTCAATTCCTGTTCAATATAGTTTCCAAATACCAACACAGGAAACAGGTTAGGAGAGAGATGAAGTAGCCATACATCTTTTGAACGTAGGAAATATACAACTCCATTCATACATAAATTGCCACAAAGTCAGTGATACTACAGTAATAGTGGTAGTAACTTTTTCTCCTTGTTCTTTTGGCTCAATTTCCTCTGACGTCCAATCTTCACTCTGGAAAATAAAGTTACCCTTTCTTTGGTATGTAAAACAATAGCTAATGAATACAAAAGCTTTTATGCAGATTTATTGTTGTGCAAGATGGATTATGCCATCTTCTTCCTTTAGTGGCATATATGCTTACCAGTATCATTCAGTTTTGTTATTAGTGTTATACCATGCAGTGTAATTTGTGCCTTACTTCTAAGAACTCATTTCTGACTATGAAATCTCTTAGGTCATTTCAGTTTTGTACATTCAATACTAATTGGAAGAAATTCAGAGGAAATCCTGTGAGTTCATCCTCCCATCTTTTTCTTATCAGTATGCACTACATCAGTTCTTTCACATTTTGCAATGGATTTTCCTTTATACTATTTGCTGCTTATCAGAAAAATTTGAAGTGGAGCAACAAATAATTTCTTTAACAACGGCAGCTAAGATCACCCTGAAGCAGGTTGCAACCATTTTTCACATTTCCTTGCCTGAGGAGGGAATGTAAAACACTGTTAGAGTTTTGACATCTAGAAGGAGAATATAATTTAAAAAACTATTGCTTACCATCTGCAAACCTGAGCTGCTTTTAGAAGGGAGGTTACACAAGCTTACTTTCTAAGACACAGTTTCTGGCATTTATTAGGCAGTCATTAGCAATAATCAAATCCAAGCAAATGATTAGCTCATGTGCTAACTTGGCGATCAAGACTTCTTGCTCGATTTGCAGCTTTTCAGTTCCTGGGTGAATGCACCTTTCCCAGTTACTGTCTCCATTTTTGCCAGATTAGGTGATGGACTATAGGATTCCCTATTCTCTTGCCTTTCACCATGTCTAGTTTAATAATTCCCATGAATTTCACAGAAGTTGTTCCACACTCAATAGCCCAACATTCACTATCAGTTTCCTATGGTAGCTTCTTGGGAGTTAAGTCTATGGGGGGCTTCCTCAGACCTTTAGAATTATTTTCTTGTTTTCTACCATTGGAGAAAGACTCTCAATAGGTATTTGAAATTGCTTGCCTTGGCCAGCCCACAACAATCTTTCTCTAGCCAGTTTTTATTCCTGCATGTCAGTATTTAATTGTACTGCATGCCTTTATTGCTACAGTATTGCTGTTTTCCTTTCTCTGATGAAAGAAGTTGATCACTTTTTTAATCATTCATGTCATGAGCTAGATTAGGATCACTTGTACATATTAAACTCACAGCTGAATTTCTAATCTTTATGGCAACCACCCCCTATCTTCCTGACCAGCAGCTGCTTTTTCTTTTAGCTCTTTGAGGCAGGAATGATGTTGAGTGGTAAATTCCACACCCCTTTAATCTCATGTTCCCGATTAACATCTAAGAGCCCAGCACCAGTTCAGTGCTTAAAACAAGTCTGCTGCCAACTTATCTCGGAAGTTATCAATCACAAGCATTTCACAGAATTACAGAATCAATTTGGTTGGAAGAGACCTTTGGGATCATCGAGACCAACCTTTGTCCGAACACCACCTTGTCAACTAGACCATGGCACTAAGTGCCTCCAGTCTTTTCTTAAACCCCTCCAGGGATGGTGACTCCACCACCACCCTGGGCAGCCCATTCCAATGCCTCATGACCCTTTCTGTGAAGAAATGCCTTCTAATATCTAACCTGAACCTCCCCTGGTGCAGTTTGAGACTATGTCCTCTTGTCCTGTCACTAGTTGCCTGGGAGAAGAGGCTGACCTCCACCTTGCTATGACCTCCTTTGAGGTAGTTGTAGAGAGTGATAAGATCACCCCTGAGCCTTCTTTTCTCCAGGCTAAAGAACCTCAGTTCCCTCAGACACTCCTCATGAGACTTACTCTCAAGACCCTTCACCAGCTTCATTGCCCTTCTTTGGACTTGCTCCAGCACTTCGATGTCTTTCTTGTAGTTAGAGGCCCAAAACTGGACACAGTACTTGAGGTGCGACCTCACCAGTGCCGAGTACAGAGGGACAATCACTTCCCTAGTCCTGCTGACCACACTATTTCTGATACAAGCCAGGATGCCATTGGCCTTCTTGGCCACCTGGGCACACTGCTGGCTCATGTTCAGCCAGCTGTCAACCAGTACCCCCATATCTTTTTCCACTGGGCCACTTTCTAACCACTCTTCCCCCAGCCTGTAATGCTGCATGGGTTTTTTGTGGCCGAAGTGTACGACCTAGCACTTGTTCTTGTTGAACCTTATGCTGTTGGTCTCAGCCCATTGATCCAGCCTGTCCAGGTCCCTCTGTAGAGCCTTCCCACCCCCAAGATGATCGACACTCCCACCTAACTTGGTGTCATCTGCAAGTTTACTGAGGGTGC